CGACGACACAGTCCAGAAGTGCACTTTCGCTAACAAAAACCAAGTCAAGAAAACGAGACTGGAAATTGGGAACAAGGTTTATCTGGCTCAGTCCATGAAAAGCCGTGCCGTCAACAAGCAAGCGGCTGGCAGGAGTAGTTGAAGATGCAATCGGATCTGGAAACGCATAACCCTGGCCTGAGGGTGACCAGCTAAGCCCAGGCTGATTAAAATCACCAAGCAGAAGAAGCACATCCGTTATATCAGCCATGGACGATGCAAATTCTGTAGCATCCAGATGAAGCTGCATTGTGGTGCAGTCATGTCGACGTTCAGGGGGAATATACACCGCTCCAATGAGGATGTCCCGCGAAGTGAGGCTGACCTTAACCCAAACCGCTTCAATTGTAGTAAATAGTTCGTTGGAGATTACGCAGGAGGCGAATTTGTTGGAATATAAGTGGTATATTAAGCCTCACATTAATGCCTACATCCACGGCACTGGATTGACTATTACAGAAGATATACCACATAAGGTAGAACAGTTGGATACTGAACTGGAGGCCACCGCGGTCACCATTCAGTTTCCGTATAAGCTGACTGTTGTTAGCTTATACATGGCTCCGAGGAATAGGGCTGGCAAGGAAGTGAACGTCATCGGCAAACTGCAAGATCTCATCTCGCAGCTGCCTGTCCCTTATGTGATAGTGGGCGATCTGAATGCGCATCACTCCTCCTGGGGATCACATAAGACTGACGTTCGTGGTGAGAGGTTGTATCAGCTACTGGACACGTTGGGTTGTTCAGTGCTGAACGATGGCAGACCGACTCGGTTCGATCCCACCACCGGGGTAGAGTCCGTGATTGATCTGGCCATAGCCTCTTGGGATGTAGTCAGCCAGTTTATCTGGCAGGTTGACGATGACTTACACGGAAGTGATCATTTCCCTATTTCATTGTCACAGGCTGTAGACCTCCCGTCTACTGTGACAAGACTTAGATGGAACCTTGAGAAGGCAGATTGGGATAGCTTTGGCAAAGAAGTCTGTCGCCAACTGCCTGGTGATGACAGGATATTGAGACCAGGTGACTGGACCCAAATCTTGAGTAAGGCCGCTCATCGTCACATCCCAAAGGCTGGAGGGAGAGGAGGTATGAAAACTGCCCCTTGGTGGGGGACAGAAGTTCATACAGCGATTAAGGCTAAACGTAAATGTCTAAGGGCGCTGCGTAGGTTGCAGCTTGATGATCCTTCTAGGGCCGATAGATTGAGGGAGTTTCAGCTTGATCGATCTAAATCTAGAAGCGTAATCAAAGCTGCAAAGCGGGATACATGGTCTACTTTCACCGCGGACATATCGGAAACCACTAGCTCTGGTGAGCTATGGCGAAAGGTAAACTCTGTCGGTGGTAAGAACAGACATGTTGAGAGGGTTATTAAGTTGGATGGCGATTACACGAGAGACCCAGGACTTATCAGTGAGGCCTTTGCTGATCAATTTGCCAAGGTGTCGGCAAACAGCAATCACAGTGATGAGTTCCTGCGTGTTAAGTCATTGGCTGAGGGGGAGTACCGCTACTCCCGTGACAGGCAGTGTAGTCTAGTTAAAGACTACAATAGGGTATTCGTGCTTGAAGAGCTCAACTGGGTCCTGCGCCGCGGCCTTGGTAAGGCTGCGGGCCCTGATGACATCGGGTATCTCTTGCTTAGGAGATTATCCCTTGTCGGCCGATTGGCTCTTCTTGCTACTATGAACGAAGTCTGGCTTTCTGGCCAGATACCGGACGAGTGGAAAGAAGGGTTGGTTATTCCTATTCCCAAACCTGGGAAGGATGAAACCCTAACAGAGGGTTATCGACCGATAACCCTACTGAGCTGCATGGGAAAAACACTCGAGCGGATGGTTAACCGTCGTCTGTTAACTGAGCTGGAGAGGCAAGGACGGATCCACCCACGGCAACACGCATTTCGATGCGGCTATGGGTCGGAGACGTTCTTCTCTGAGCTCGATCATTTATTGGACAAGGCCTCGTCGGAAGATTTGCATGTAGATGTAGTCTCTAAATTCTCCTCTTGTAGGGGAAAAGTTGAAAGAGACGTTAATAGACTTATCCACTTATCCGGAAAAGTCTTGGAAGTGCCAGTAGTGCAGTAGGACAGTAAGAGTACAAAATTAATTAAATTTGCTGAGATCTCCCCTTTATTTTCATTTATATGTTTTTAAATTTATTATATACTTTATTTCTATTGCTCTCTACTGAAATCTAGCTCTCACCTGTTCGTGTTAGGCGTTGGAAAATTTTGAAGCACACAAAAGGAAAAGTTCGCGAGTCATTGTGAGTTTAAGCGAACTTTTCCTGTAGATTGATTAGAGACCCGTTTTTTTTTCAGTTTTTACACAAGCGAAGATAGATCTAGGGTTCCTTCCTCCTTTTCCTTTCTCCTACGGCCTTTTATTCCATTTTTTTTCTTTTCAGAAAGCGAGTAATGGTACTATAGCCATAAGCCTTATAGGGCTTAGACAAGAGCTAGTGCTCATGTATCCACCACTCGAGGAAAATGAAGCATCATTCAACTTTTTTAGATTAGATGCTCCCAACGACCAATCATTTATAACAAAGGAACGACCGGTACGAGATGTCCACGTTTCATCCATTTATTGGATTCTGAAGCATCGTGTTTAAATCTTTGATGTAAACAGGCCCGATTTTCTGAATCATCTTGCCCCTTAAATGCTGCACAGTAGGCCTGGCCGTTTTGATATATTTTGCACATCTCTGCAACATATACCAAATAGACAAGAAAAAGGATGGAGGTATATCTATCATTTTCCAGGATGCTTTCATGAACTGGCTGTGTTGGTGTTAGATTAGATTAGATTAGATTAGATTAGACTTCATATTATTATTAGCCAGGGGCAATGAACCAAGTTTGTGCTAAAATTTGTCAATTTTGACTCTCGTCTAATTTTTCAAAATAGCGTTTTCAATATTTTTCAATAAATCTTAGCAATAAATGATGATGTGCAAGAAAAAAGGTTCAAAATGCTTACTAAAAGCTGATATTCTACGATTTTTGATTGAAAAGTTTTCAAATAAATATAAGTTTTAAAATATTTAAAATCTACTTTTTAAGTTTTTAAGTTTGTTTTGTCATTTTTTGGTGAAATTTTCACTATAACGACTGTAATAATCAAAAAATCAATTATCTATAATTTCATCTCAGACATAATTTCGATTGAATGAGTCAGTTTTGAGGTATGATTTATTGAAAAATATAGAATACTTCATTTTGGAAAAATTAGGTGATAGTCAAAATGGCCAAATTCCAGCATACACTTGGTTCATTGCCCCTAGTGAACAATTATAAAAAGTTTCATGGAATTCTGAGAGGTAAGTAGTCGCTATTTGACGCGGATTTCCCAGCAGACGATTGGGATCTGGCAAACCGATTTTTTTTTAATTGCAATAATGTGGTGGACTTGTGTGAAAAATATCGCTTGAGTCGACTGTGAGGGTAATATAAAATCAATTGGTCAGTTGGCGTGGATTTGCTCTGCTTCTCCAATACGATGTTAATCGACCGGGAAGCGTTCCCGTACATTTTCCGACACAAGAAAAGTACAAAATTGTACACTTGTCCAGCTCGTTTTTAGCACAGTCACCAGACGATGACACGGCCAGCGTCGACGACGAGGAAGACTACCGCGACGGCGGCGGCGGACAACGATGAGCGAGATTCTTCCTTGTCCGACAAAATGTACCCTGGCAGCAGCAGCAGCAGCAGCCAAAAAGTAGAAAAGAAGGGACGCCGCCGCACAGGGAAATGCTATTAACCTTTCCGGAACATGAAAGTCTACCCGGGAAGAAAATTCGAACGGGAGCAAAATAACCATTCCACTCTCGGAAAATGCTCGGGCGGGTGAACTCAGTCTTTCACTCTCTCTATGTGTTTCTGTCTCTGTCTCTTATCCAGTCCACTGTCGGTCCGGGACTCTATTCCTCTTCTCGGTGCTCCTGTCCCGTGTGATCTGTGTCCCAAGGAATGACTTTATGGTGCAGTGAATGGCTTTTTTATGCGTTTCTTATACTCCTCGGGGGCACGCGCGCACGGTGCCACCAGACCAATGCGATCAAGGGGAAAATTTGTGTATAACATCAAGCATTTCAAACGGCAACTATTTTGACCAGCTACGGATCGAATAAGTTCCCACAGTGCACACTTAGTGCAGCATCCGACATATTGCAGAGGTGGGCGATCGTTCATGCACATTTCACCGGCGACGACGACAACGACGACGTTGCACTGCATTTCGTCTCGCCCGGGGCCACCCACCCTCTCCGGGAAAGTGGCAGGTAGTAGCATTTCACCCCACTTGCCCCTTTTCACCTTTTGCCATTCTTCCCGCCAGCGTCGCGTGTGTGGGTGGTTTCTTCCCCCCACTTTCACCACAATGCCACCATCTCCACCCTAGTAGACAGAGACGCGGCAATGGCGGTGATGTTATGAATTTCAAAAGTGGTTTGTCAGATGGAATTTCTCAGCACTGAACTAGAAACAAAAAGAAAAATAAAAGCGAAGGTTCAACTTCTTGGCATGCAACCGCGGAGGATGGGGAAATACGGGACGTTTCCCGGGAAATATTTTAAATGCAATAGGATATAAGCTCTTGAAAGTCTGGCAGCAAAGCACGGCCAAGGAGGAAGCGGGGGGAAAAGAGATCGTTGGTGTTTTCCGCATTATTATTATTAGTTGCCGGAGACTCGCGCATAAGAAAGATCGTTTCCAAGACGCGTCTTGACTGCGAGATGTGCGAAATGCAATATTTATTCTAATGGAATGGAATCACGCAATCGGGGGAGGAGGGGGAGGATGAAGCGGGGAATCGGAATGCGACTGGCTGTTGTCGCATTTTGTCCCTCCTGTGTTATTGATGTTCGTATCGACTCCGGCAAACTCCGGCTTATTTGACATTCAAATAACAGCGAAAAAGTCAACAGAATTTAAGTAAACGACTCACCTGACAATCTTCCGCTTATTGTTGGGATGCAACCGATCGGCTGTCACTGGATCAACTCGCCGCAGCACACCATGCAAAACGGTCGACTCCAGTTGCTCCATTTGTTCCGTTGTCATTAGCAATACCTTTTCCGCCGGATCATCAGCTGCCTTTTCAGTTTCTGCACCACGGTTTTCACTTTCCTGTTCTTCACGCACTTTCTTCGCGGTCGGCGGTGGTGATTCACTTTCCTTCTCGACGCCACTGCCGTCGACCGATAGTCGCGATCGCGTACTTTCGATTTCTTCCATTCTACTACTACGGCCACTACCAGCACCATGGCTCGCTTCCGGATTAGCACGATCTTCGGTTACTAATTTGGTTCTTTTTCCGGAATCGAACAACGTTTCTTCTTCTGCCGTTTCTTCGGCTTCGTCCTGTGAGGTGCCGGAATGCCGACGTCGGCGAGTATTTTCCTGGCGAATGCCACTTCCGACCAGTACCTGCCAGAGGACGCTCTCGATGTAGTAGTTGGTTCCGCCTACTATGACGGGCATCCGGTTCTCTGCCAGCAAGCGGTCGATCTAGTTAGTTTTTTTTTAGTTAAGGATCATTTTGAAACGATAAAAGGTTGTTTAGCAATGCATCATCAGGGTTGTTAATCGATAACCGTCGATAAGGGGCTGTCCTTGAATTAGGTAGACGAATTTAAGAGGGATAAGATCCCCTGCCCTTGCATAGACCATAACATTTGGAAATTTGTATGGACCGTAGACACTCGCGAACCCCCTCCCCTCTAAAGTATCTACGTAGCTTATGAACATCTTCAAAAATTGTAGTCCCTTAATTTCAATGGTGATTATTAAATTATTATTAGATTTTGAATATTAATAACTCAGCTGCCCCTGAACCAATTTCAATAATTTTATCACCAATTGAATATTTCTACGCGTCAATAGCAATGCTTTCGACTGATAATTCCTAACAAGAAACAATTGAAAAGTGGTAATGTTAAGGATTGCTCAATGTACAAATAAAAAGTGATAATGTTGTTATCACTGTTTTCATGAAATAAACGTTCTTCCCAAACCCAGTCGCCATAATCGAGTACAACTTGGTTGCACATCATTCTGCTTCAACCTGAAAAGATATAAACACGCTTCGGACGGCGTGGTGAGCATGTAGCAGGAGCAGCAATATCAGCAGTAGGAAAATGGTGGCAGGTTAGGTAGTCCATTCTTCTACCTAACAAGCAACAATAACAGGTCGTGGCAAAGGAGGAAAAGGTCTTGGTAATGGGGTGTTTACATCTGTGTGGATTTGCTACCGCTTGTGTACTAGCCAACTATCAAGAATTTCAGTTGTTCCTGAATTCTCATGCTGGTAGACGGTGATGCCCTGTTTACATTATGCTAGTGTGATTTTTTGCTAGCAGCTAGCTCATTAGCGCTAGTGAAATAGCATAAGTGTTAATACCCCATAAAGGAGGCGCCAAGCGTCATCGCAAGGTTCTTCGTGATAACCGCCGCCCGTCGTCTGGTTCACCGTGGCGGTGTCAAACGTATCTCCGGTCTGATCTACGAGGTTTGATGAAGGTGTTATTGGAAAATGTGATCCGTGATGCTGTCACCTACTCTGAAGACGGCACCAACAACACAGCAAAAAATTAATTTTGATATCACATCAAAGTGGATGCACTTCAATCGTGACGAAAATATGGTGTAATATTACTTTCCAAAAAAGCGGCACCGGTGGTGTAGTGGTAAGCGTGATTAGCTCTCACCCCAGCAGGCCTGGGTCCAATCCCAGTCGGCGCCGTCGGGATGTTCTGAGGCATAACATCTCTGATCACGCCTTCCTTCGGAAGGGAAGTAAAGCCGTTGGTCCCCGGTTCATGAGTTGATGGGTCGATAGGTAGGGTCCAGGTGTGGGAGCTGCCTTCCTGGCGTCGCACAGTGGCACGAATATGAATAAAGACGGTCAAAAATATTTTCTACCCTTTTTCGACGTTTTAGAGACTGGGTGTCTTGGGAGAAGTTGCTCAAAATTATAACTCGCATCTTTTGAAATACACACCTGAATAATCTTTAAGCTAGTATTACACATCCAAATTCTAACTTTTTCCAGTTACGAGATAATGGTTCCATGTCTTGGACAAAGTTGCAGAGCAGTTGATTTCATGAACATTTGCTAAAGACACCAAATTTCTACATCATAACTCTGTAGAGCTATAATAGATTTTCTTTTAAGACTACCTTAATATTGGTTTTTTAAGTTATTTAGTGCTTTTTTCAAATTTGATCAATTTATCATGTTCTAAGAAATTGTTGGCATCATTAAAATATACAATTTTGCTGAATACACCAATGCTTTTCATTGACATCCATGTGATATACAGCCCATCAAGCGTTTTTGTGACGTCATATTCAACGGCTCGAAAAGAGGGTGGGCGGGCCCTGGCGGGGTCTAAAACTGGTTGTATTTTGAAGACTACCTTATAAAATAGTACTTCTGAAAATTTCAGCGTTGGGTACTGAGGGGTACCTAGCCAAATCTCGATTCGAAAATGTCAATATTATATACAGCCCATCGAACGATTTTGTGACGCCATATTGAACGGCCCGAAAAGATGGTAGGTGGCCCCTGGCAGGGTTTAAAACCGATTGAATTTCGAAGATTACATTATAAAATAGTGCTCCTGAAAAATTCAGCATTGGGAGCTATGAATCAATGATTTTAACCTACACATGTTTGAACTTGCAAATTATTCAAATTATTAAGCTTAATCTGGAGATGTATTTAATGGGTTTGTTCTTAATGTGTTTGTTCTTCAGTGTACCTACATTGATATGTACATTCATTGCAATATTGATACTCATATGTTGATAGTTGCAAATATTATGATGCAAGCTAATAATATTGGTATATTCTTTGCCCTTTTTTTTTTTTTTTTTTTTTTTTTTCTTTATTTAAGAGATTTTTAGCCTTAGGCTAGTTCATCTCTAAGCTTCTTTGCCCTTTATTATAAACAAAATGGACTAAAATATCGGTATAACTTTCAAGAAAACTAGAATAAATGATAAAATTCTGACTACGGTTCTAAAGGGTTCCAACTTTGGACCTACCCACGCCACCCTTTTTTCAGAACATGGAACGTGACTTCACAACAGATGTTTGAAACTTCCGCGTGCACATCGCTGAACGCTGCTGCAGATGACTATTTTGCGCTTGACGTTTTGGCGATAGCAAAGAGCGATAGAGTTTATTTAATTATCTAGGTGTGATTTTTTTCACGAACAACTTGTATTGAAGTTGTGGTTCAAAATGAATTCATTCAATCTTTGTCGGATGGAATTGTTCAAAGTGTGGGCGGAGCAGATTCATGGAAATCGTCATGTCAAATATTATCGAAGATAGTCAGGTAAGGAGTAATTAAAACATATTTTTTTCAATATTGGCATACTCAAAATATCAAAGTTCAGAATATACAGTTGATGAACAAACCCATTGATTACATTTCAAGATAATGCATTTTTTATATAGTTGTAAATTTTATCATGAGTAAGTAGCACACTCGTAGCACACTTGTATTAAATATATATAAACTAGATTTGACTAGGTACCCTTCGGTACCCAAAGCGCAAATTTTTAGGAGTACTATTTTATAAGGTGATCTTCCAAATACAATCAGTTTTCGACTACATCAGGGCCCGCCTACCCTATTTTCGAGCCATTGAATATGACGTCACAAAAACGCATGATGGGGTACATATAACATTGACTATTTCGACTCGAGATTTGACTAGATACTTTTCGGGCCGTTCAATATGGTGTCACAAAACCGTCGAACATGATAAATTGATCAAATTTGAAAAAAGCACTAATTAACTTAAAAAACCAATATTAAGGTAGTCTTAAAAGAAAATCTATTATAGCTCTACAGAGTTATGATGTAGAAATTTGGTGTCTTTAGCAAATGTTCATGAAATCAACTGCTCTGCAACTTTGTCGAAGACATGGAACCATTCGTAACTGGAAAAAGTTAGAATTTGGATGTGTAATACTAGCTTAAAGATTATTCAGGTGTGTATTTCAAAAGATGCGAGTTATAATTTTGAGCAACTTCTCCCAAGACACACAGTCTCTAAAACGTCGAAAAAGGGTAGAAAATATTTTTGACCGTCTTTATTCGTATTCGTGCCACTGTGCGTCGGTAGCATTGGTGCTCAGCACGGAAAACAAGATCGACGGAAAACAAATCAAGGAAAAAAAAATACTTTCCAAAAAGGACAAAATTATCATTAATACAGTGTATGAGCTGACATTACGCAGCTTTTACTGTATTTGTTTATTTTTGTGGCCATAAAAATAACATGAGATTTTTGACATGTTTAAAGTGCATCCTCTTGGATGTAATATTAAAATTTATTTTTTACTGTGAATAGAATTTATCTGTGCCTGTTTGTCCATATTCAGAACCACACGCCCCCAACGACCACACCAAATGTTCTCCAGAGTTGTTATCTTGTAACCGAACTTGGAAGCAGGGGTACAAGTGATTTTTATCAATTCTCTTCATCAACTTTTTCTTTGAAAAAAAAAAAAATAAGATAATAGATGATCGATTAATTAAAACATCTAAATGCTCTTCACATTTGTTCTGTCCACTAGCGGTCCTACGACATGCTTCCGATCGTGCCCCTAGACACAGACCCTTCTGCTTTTTAGAATAGACTTACCACAAAGCACGGGAAAAGTGAAAAACCTATAGAAAAATCAACGTCAACGATCATCCAGGATAGAAGTGACCAAGGTCCAACAACGTAATATCAACCTTAATTTTGAAAGATGTGCTTCATCATGCTGGCATAGAATATTATTACTTCGAAACGTATTTATTATTTTGGAAACGATGTGATTTCCCTCTCACCGACTTCAGAATAGAGTACCTGGCACTGAAAAAGTTGTTGGTATGCACTTAGATTAACATCATAAGTACTCCCTTGTTTGCATACTAGGCACAAACATACTTACGACGGGAAATTTAATTAGAGGCGGAGATTAGAAAGTATTGTTTATGGCGAGCATGCAAAAAAGGAGGGGCTTCGTATGCGATTCTAAATGCATACATGTAGAAGTACCAGAAGTGCTTTGCAGGTACTCTATTTTGAAGTCTGTGCTAGGGATTTTTTTGACTGCACGGGCCTTTTTTAACAACTAACGAAAAACAGTGTATGCGTCGTTTCTGATAGATGTCACCGCAAACTACAGCAGCGAAAAAAAAAAGATTAGATAAAAACATGGAAATAATTAACAACTTTTGGCATAAAGTATGTGCCATAAGAAAAAAGGAAAATCGTTCACATTTTATATGAGAATTTCACATTTTTTTTTTCAAATTGGAACTTTTCCGCCATCATGGAAAATGTTTTGGCGTATCTCAGGTTGACAACCTCTGGTAAAGTGTGTGCTAAGTACAATGATACTTTATGTCCAGGAAAATCGAGAAACCGGACCGGACTGAAAATCGAAGGGATGCCATAAAATGATTCTAGCACTTTAAAATCTTACGAGATGAACTAGC